TAACTTAACCTACCCTAACCTAAAAAAAACAACAACAATATAACCTAGCCTAGCCTACCCTAACTTTAAGTCAACCCACATTAACCTGATGTTCTAAACTAACGCTAAGCAAAGCCAACCTAACCAATAATCAATTAACGCTAATATAACATAACTAAACACTAACCTAATCTAATGCGAACCTAACCGAACCTAACCGAACCTAACCGAACCTAAGGAGCCACTGATTACGGGAAAATTCTGTAAATGGTTCGAAACTTTTGGCTCGAATCAGGTGTCATTATCGACGTGGGTCCGATTATCTCTTGATTTAGTGGATATCTGATATAGTGAAGAACGTATTGTTGAATGAAGACGTTGAAGCTATTTAATAACTGTTGTCTATAAGGAATATTCTAAGCTACAAAGTTAAATATATTATAGATAGTTAATAAGACTTCAGTAAACATAGATGTTTTGGATAGTTAATGAGACTTCAGCTTGTTATAGATATTGTATATAGTTAATCAGACTTCAGTTACTAAGGATACCGTATATAGTTAATAAGACTTCAGTTACTATAGATGTTGTAGAAGAGGAATAAATAATAATAATAATAAAAACCTTATTTCCCCAGGGAGTTCTGACGATGAACGGGATAAATTTGGGGTTCAATGTGATGTCCAAATATGAAAACTGAATTGAAGTGACATTTGATTTAGGTGGCTCATGTTAGGTTAGGTTAGGTTAGGTTAGGTTTGGATGAATTAGTTTAGAGGTAGGTTAAGTTAGGTTAGGATTAATTAGTTAAGAGGTAGGTTAAGTTAGGTTAGGATTAATTAGTTAAGAGGTATGTTAAGTTAGGTTTGGATGAATTAGTTTAGAGGTATGTTAAGTTAGGTTAGGATTAATTAGTTAAGAGGTATGTTAAGTTAGGTTAGGATTAATTAGTTAAGAGGTATGTTAAGTTAGGTTAGGATGAATTAGTTTAGAGGTATGTTAAGTTAGGTTAGGATTAATTAGTTTAGAGGTAGGTTAAGTTAGGTTAGGATTAATTAGTTTAGAGGTAGGTTAAGTTAGGTTACATAAAGGTTAGATTCAATTGAATTACATTAGGTTAAGTTGGCTAAGGAGAGGTCACGTAAGTTTTGGTTTTATTATGTCCACGATCCGCATTCGAACCCGGTCCAAAACATGTCGTATACAGAGGTCGAGCCGCACATAGACGTATAAAGAACTCCTGAACAAGTATTAACCACGATGTAACTCTTCGATAAGGACGACGTAGAACAGGTAGTTGGGCCATTAATGAGGTGATTCAGGTTTTGGTGGGTCGTAAAAGCCAAGGAAATACAAGATTTATGTAAAGATAAGATAAGGTTTATAAGACTCTGTGTTGGAGTACTCTCGGCCACTGGGGAAAATATTTGGAAAAAATGAAAATAAAAAACAAGGGGGGGGGATATTACTAGAGGGGGCTCAGGGGTTGGGAATTATTGGGTTGCTCTCTCTCTCTCCAATAAGCCACAAATATTGCAACACTTCCTCACATTTCACACTACCACACCTACCCACATCACTACACCTCCCCACACCATCACACCCACCCACACCACCACACCTCCCACACTACCACACCTACCCACATCACTACACCTCCCCACACCATCACACCCACCCACACCACCACACCTCCCCACACCACTACACCTCCCCCATACCACCACATCTCCCCACACCATAACACCTCCCCACGCCGCCACCTCCCCACACCTCTACAACACGTAATAGACAAGACAAGGTCCGTAATCTCCGAAACTAGCTGTCCAGTACAGAACCTGACTTAGAGAACGATGCTTATGGACCTTGACAGTTCACGCGCCAGGACTCCTAAAGGAATGTAAAGCGCATGACTACAAGAAGAGAATTTTAGAATATTTCAAGAGTCTATTTTCCCATTTTGATGCCTAACCCTTGACATATGTTTTTAATCCATTTTTAGTAGAGCAAATGTCATAATTAGCTGTTGTTTATCTTATACCGCTGGACTTACTGGGGAATGGGAAGATATATATCTTCCTTTAGTATTATTATCGATGCTGGTACTATAATTTATAATATACGTATCTATCATTAACATCTTTATTATTGTCGTATTGCAATACTTATCATTAATATCACCGAGGAGTTCTCATTCCTGGTAGTGTTGCAAGCGGGTGTTCCCCTGTTATAGTGTCCGTGGGGCCGCTGGGAGCCTCTTATTGTTGTCCTCCCACATCAAAGGTGAGGACAAAGCCTCGTCACCACACCACGGAACAAAGGTGTGTATAATTAATATATATATATATATATATATATATATATATATATATATATATATATATATATATATATATATATATATATATACAATATATTTTATTTTCTACACCCTTTACGTTATCTTACTATCGAAGGTGAAGTACAGTATTTGGACAAGCTCTCAAATTAATAATTTCGTTAAGGACAAAATAACAGTAGGAAGTGTCCAGGAGGGTGTCACTCGTTCTGAAGTAAACGATGCAAGCAGATGGAAGTTGTCCTGTAAATGTAACTATAACTTCCTCGCTACAAATTCGGTACAGCCCAAGAACACCGAACATTTAAATAAAAATTTTACCGGTGAAAATTTAACGCGAGCGAGCAAGCTGTGGTAGCTGGCGCCTGAGTTAGCAAGCTGCGCTAGAGTTAGGGAGCGACACTAATGTTTATTAATGGAGGCAACACTCCGGTGAACGGCGGGCAGGCTGGGTGGGTGTATGAGAAATATATAAGGTTGATAAAAGAATGGCTAACCTCTTTATCTCTTATATAATTCTTTTATTCTTTCTTTAAGCTAACGATATTGACTAACCACAGCTAACCTGCCTCACACCTAACGATATAAAACTAACCATAGCTAACCTGCCTCACACCTAACAATATTTACTAACCATATCTAACCTGCCTCACACCTAACGATATAAAACTAACCACAGCTAACCTGCCTCACACCTAACGATATAAAACTAACCAAAGCTAACCTGCCTCACACCTAACAATATAAAACTAACCAAAGCTAACCTGCCTCACACCTAACAATATAAAACTAACCAAAGCTAACCTGCCTCACACCTAACCCCCAAAAACTACCCCAACAACGGTAGCTATAGTGGTTGGTTATACTAGCTTGGTTATACTAGGTTATACTCGGTTAAACTTGATTAGAATTGGTTGGTAGAAAAAATAATTAAAAACAAATGCAGGAAATAGACACCGAGTGAGAACAGAAAAAAACAATCATAAGTAAAGAAAGAAGGATAGAAAAATGTAAAAGAAAAACGAAATGGAGAAGAAAAAACAAACATAAAAAGAATAATTGGTAATGAAAAGGCAAAATTACATGATGGGAAGAAAAGAAGTTTGAGTACCAAGCAAAAGGAACGGAGAGAGAGAGAGAGAGAGAGAGAGAGAGAGAGAGAGAGAGAGAGAGAGAGAGAGGAAACAACAAAAAACAGCAAAAAATATTTACAGAAGATGAGAAACAGCCCCAAGGAAACACTATAGATAGAACAACAGGGAAAAGGGGGGGAGGGGGTAGAGGGAAATTGACGAAGGAAATGAACAAGAGAGATTACCAAAACGGATGATAAAGATGGATCAGAGTAGGGTGAAACACAAAGGCCTGATAAAGACGAATGCATAGAGAAAGAGAGGATATGAAGGGGGGTGAAGGGAGATGGGAGAATGGAAAAGTATGAGCAGTGAAGGGGACGTGGATAAATGTGGGTTGCGAACTTATTCAAGGATATAAACACACAAACTCTAATAATAATGAAATATCGACTAATAAAGTTTCTGTTACCAAAATCAATATAACGTTTTAACTTATTTTCCGTCATACCACAAATCTCAAGTGACCAACGTATGCAATTCTTTTCTTGGTCAATGGAAGCGAAGTAAAATCCACTGCTGTCTTATGTAGGTTCTCCTTCTCCTTTTGACTGAAAACTACAACGAAAATCTCGACTCTCATATATACAGAGCTGGTGACTGGAGGTGACATGACCCATAATTACCGAGGTTCATTCCACCATAATTGGCTTTTTGGTTTTTGACAATCATCATATCTTTATAATCAACATCATCTGTTCTCGGAGCTTTTTTTTTCTTTATAATGAGTCAGCCGTGACCGTGTACTGTACGTGGGTGTTAATTAATATACCCTCGCCTCAGGTGTGGCCCCAACACTCACCTGTGACTGGCATCTTGTTGCTGATGAATTTGAGGCTCCATAATTGGATGTTTAACTTTTTTCATTATTTTTTTATGCACTCTCATCAAGACTGGTGCCATGGATTATATCTCCCATCCGTTCGTTCGCCCGTCTAATTTACACGTCCATGTTTAATGAATGTCCGACACTGGATTGCTCACTTTGTTAAATAAACTAAAAGAACTCTTCACTGGGGATTCAGGAGCGCGGCATTAAGAGGTTGACAGATGTGTACAATACAATACAGGTCACGTCGGATGATTTATTTCAGCTACAGGCATGACCGTCGGTGGAATTTATCGGGGTGAGACAAGGTTATCAGACACCACTTTTTGTTTCCTTACGAGATCTGTGTATATCAATCTCTATGATGAATTAGACAATCTTCTAGCCAAATAATTTAATTTAAGAGCGCATAAATCCCCTTAACAGATTATTTAATCGTGATTCTTGTCTTTTTTCCGATTGAATTTAGCACATGAAGCTTCTTACCTAATATTGGTAGTTAAAGCAAAGAGGTAAGTTAGGTTATGTTAGGTTTGGTTAGGTTAGGTACGTAAAGTTAACTTCATCTCTTAGTTAGGGTTGGTTACCGTGAGTTAAGGTAGAATTTGATATATTAGGTAAGGTAACGGTAGGTCAGGTTTGGCTAGGTTGAAGACTGAGCTAGGTTAGGTTATGTATAATTGTATAGAAACAGGAAATGGGGAAAAATATTGTAGCTTACCTGTGCATGCTGGACGCGGGCGGTGAGAGAGAGGTGAGGTTGGTTGTCACCGTTCTTACACGCCCCACTGCCTGTTACAGTCACGTCTTCCTTTCCACCTCCATCGCCTACCTCGTTCTTTGGGTTCTTCACCTTCCGGCCCTCATTCTTCTCTGCAACGCCCCTGGCCGCCAACAACACCGTCAGGAGAACGAGCACCAGTACCACCCACACCTTCATGGCTCACACACAAAAGGCAGCAACCTGTGGAAGATAAAAATAACATTTATATGACCTGTAGCATAAAGCAGAACAAGTCATCAGCACCTGGCGTCTCATTTCATCCCGTAATGAAACGTCTGTGGAAGGTAAGACAGATGACCGTTCACCCAGGCTTCCTCCCGGAGTGAACGTTCCCTTACGTGTAACTGACTGATAAATGCGACTGTCTTCTTATGACAAAATAGACGATATAGAAATATATTTGGTAATACACAGAAGCCCGAAGAAGAGCGCGGGACAAGCTTGTACACAGCCGGAGAACTTTACAACAGCAGAACAAACAGTGTTCCCGAGGCAATGTTTCTGAGGACATAAAGTTTAGCCATGAATTGAGACATAGGCTAGCCAGGTGAGTTGTTGAGCTGGTGAACACAGTTATGTCTCTGATGTGACACCTGGAGTCCCTGCTCTCTGAATAATTTCCAAAGCCAAAGTCCTTCTCCTAAGGTCAAAGGTCAGGGGGTCACAAAAAACAACTCCTGACTAACTACGTCGTTTAATGAAAAGTGAGTGACAAAGCCCAGAAGAGAATGTCTTTTGTCAATCTCCAAAGATCAAGGGTCAAGAATTTAAAAAAAAAATCGAACTTACAGCACTAATTCGTCCGTGGGCGAACCCAAGACAAGAGACATTCTGAGGCTGGAAATTATTATACTCTGGCCTGTTGTTTGTATGAGTAAATTATTTAAAGGTCAGACGGAGTCAACGTCACAACTCGGCTTATCTTAAATAACTTACTAAATCTACTACACTAAATAATCTGTAAAACATAACAGAATAACAAATATAAGATAGGAGCACCGGAAGGTTGAGTAGAGAAGAAGCACAGTATATGTTAGCTGGTGTCAATGTTCGTATGTATGTGTATGATCAATCAAGAGTCCGACCAAACAGAAGTGCACACCCTTCCCACCATCCTAAGAGCGTTTCAGCTACCTAACACCAACACCCAGATCCTTAATATATAATTCTTTAAATTTTTCCGTACAGGTTTTTATGTAATGTTACAAGTTAGTAATGTAACACAATGTACCTTTAGTGTTTGTGATTACCGTGGATGTATATAGTTTGGAGGTGACACAGGTAACACAGGTAACACAGGTGACACATGTAACACGGGTAACACAGGTAACACATGTGACACATGTAACACAGGTAACACAGGTAACACAGGTGACACATGTAACACAGGTAACACAGGTGACACATGTAACACAGGTAACACAGGTAACACAGGTGACACAGGTGACACAGGTAACCTTCTTTCGTGGGATGGTTTATGGTTGCCTCCCAATGTTCATGTGGTCAGCCATGAATCACCAGAGACAGACGTCCTAAATTCCCCGCCTCTTGTGTACAATTCCGCGAGTATCTAGATAAATTATGACTTTTTTATTTTTTTTCGACTGTCTATGTTTACCATTTTGTTATATTTTGACGCCATGCCTCGTAAACACCACACTGTCCCTGGTAGGATGTAAACAAAGCCAGTAGCTGCGTGGTGTACAGAGGCTAGAGTTAAATGTACATGTATTAGTTCAACGTCCGAGGTGAATGAGGAAGCAAACACAGCGACGAGCAAGTATACACACAGCTACTTTAAGTCTCTAGGGTGACAACACGCGCTCACCCCGTGTGCGTTTTATGGCTGTCTCTCCTACACAAACTCTTTTACTGTCATGGAGTGATTTTATTACTAACTTTTATTAAAATAGCTTTGAATTTCTCATTATATCTTCAATAAATCATCATACTGTTTCTATTTACATCCCGCACTTGACCCGGACGAAAAATTAAGTCCCTCAAAACCTATAGCCTTTATAACATTTAACTCAAATCATGAAGGATGTAAATACTGGTTCTCTTATTGGGGAAAAACTTAAAAAAAATGTAAATTAAAAAGTTTCGGGTATACAATATTTCAAACAAGTGTAGCTACGGACCCTGCCAGAGCTACCCAGGAGGATCAGACACACTGAGTGACAAAGGGACAACGGCATCACCTAGATTCGTTTCTCAAATAACAGAAGCGTCGAAGAATTTTATTTTCCTTCTTCTTAAAGGAAGATAAAGTGATACATTTCTCGCGAGCACAAAACTTTTTTCAGAACGTTTTTTTTCTCAAAAGTTGAAGCATAGCGAAGTGTGAAAGACAAACTTTTTTTTCACATTCATCTTACATAAAATAATACTTTTTTTTACTCATAATTACACAATCTCATGCGTACAATGCCAACACCTTAAGTGCCATGAATTAACCCAGAGTATAAGATATCTCAACCCTTTGAGTACGATAACCCCGACCCCTTGAGTACAAAACTCATTCCCTGGAGTACGATTTCTTAACTCTTTAATGCGATGACAGTTCCCTTGTGTACTGCAAGATTATATGGTAAAGTCATCGTACTCAAGGGATAAAGAGAACCGCGTCAGTTGTATTCTGGGTTAGGTTAGGTTAGGTTAGGTTAGGTAAAATTAAAATCACGTTACAATAGGCCAGGTTAGGTTAGTACTTATATACACGTCACTAATTGGATCTTGGGCCACCACAAGGGACATAAAAGTGGATTCTGTTACTATGCCAACATTTCGGGTTACTCTCAGTTTATAGCTATACCTTTTACTGAAAGAGTTGGACTTCAGACACATCAACAGTATATAACGTTGGTGTGTAGTGTGTAAAAATTCGCTGGAAAAAGAAATAAAGAGAGTCACACACACACACACACACACACACACACACACACAAAGAAGAAGAATGAAACAGCTTAAAATAAAAACAAAAGCTTATAGAACAGAATCAGTGACAGAAAGATCGACAGAAAAAAACAGATAATACAAAAAAAACATACAAATAAAAAATCTAAAAAAAAGAAAAGGTAATAAAAAAAGAAAAACACTAAAACATAATAAAATAGTTGTAAAAAAAGAAAAAAGAAAGAAAACGGAAAACAGACAAAGGGCCAACACAAAGAAATACCACACCACTAGCACACACACACACACACACACACACACACACACACACACACACACACACACACACACACAGATTTAAGTAGGACTATACCTGAAAGTGTAAGAGAAACGCCCTATCCCTCGGTCACCACCACACAAGCTAAAGAAACCCTGTAGGCTCTCTCTCCCTCTTAAAAGCTTCCTCATACTTTACAAGGAAGTTTATTGAAGAGTTTGGAGAGCCTAAGGAACTGGAACAGAGTCTTGTATCTTAGGGTCGAAAGGTCACGTCAAATGTACACAGTGAAAAGGAAACTAAATAAAGGAAACTAGATAAAGGAAGAAGATTAAATGAAAATAAAACGAAGGATAAAAAGAATAGGGATTAATTAATTATTAAGAAAATGGACGACTATAATTAATTCTGCTTCTCCGATCAATAACAACAACGTAATAATAATAATAATAATAATAATAATAATAATAATAATAATAATAATAATAACTCCAACAATAATAACAACAACACTAATAATAATAACTACAACACCAATCATAAAAACAAAATTAACAACAAAAAATAACATTGATAAACACACTGAGAATTTATTAGCCGAAAACAATAATAGCTACAAGGTACAATTAAATGCCACTAACAATAAACCGATATTAAGAATTAGGTTGTTCATAACAGACCAGTGAGAGCGAATACTGTAGTCTAATGACGGGCTTATTAGGAATATTAATAGTATCCATTGTAATATTAATCCCACTGCAGGCTGTGCGAGAGCGTGTAGATAGATAGATAGATAGATAGATAGATAGATAGACAAAAAGAGAGAGAGAGAGAGAGAGAGAGAGAGAGAGAGAGAGAGACCAAAAACGATTAAAAAAAGAGAAAGAAAAAGAAGAAAGGGAGAGGGGGGAAGGGAGAGAAAACAGAGAGAAGAAAGGAAGAAAGGAAGGGAGAGAGAACAAAGAAAACAAAGAGAACGATATTAAATGACAGACAAAGAGAGAAAGAGAATGATTGAAAGACAGAAAGAGATTGAGGAAGAGATAAACAAAGACAGAAAAGAAAAACAAAAAAGATAAAGTGAGAGACATCGAAAATATAAAAAAATTATACTTTCAAATGTTTCTTTTAAAGTACCCGGTCCCGTACTTAAAGACGAGGAGGTGGAGAAGGTGAGGTACACACCACTCCAGCACGTGTAGGCCATCCTCCAACCCTCCTTCCTCACACCTTCCACCCTCACCTCATTACGCCCTCCAGTTTCTCTTCCACCCATTCTCCACCTGCCCTCCACCCATTCTCCACTTACGCTTCACCAATTCTCCACCTATCCTTAACCTACCCTCCACCCATCCTTAACCTCCACCCATCCTCAACCTATCCACCCATCCTTACCTACCCTCCACCTATCCTTTACCTACCCTCCAATCCTTACCTACCCTCCACCCATCCTTAACCTACCCTCCACCTATCCTTTACCTACCCTCCACCCATCCTTAACCTACCCTCCACCCATCCTTAACCTACCCTCCACCCATCCTTAACCTACCCTCCACCTATCCTTTACCTACCCTCCACCCATCCTTAACCTACCCTCCACCCATCCTTAACCTACCCTCCACCTATCCTTTACCTACCCTCCTCGAGACTGTAGGGCTACAATGTAAGTGACTGTGGACTGTGCTAGTAACTGGAGCCCCAACTGTAATGAGGATAAAGTGCTTGTTACTTAATAGGTTAATCTGTCAGGTAGTGTGAGAAATTCGTTGTTAATATGACCTCGGTTGGGCATTTCCTAATGAGAAAGAATAATGATGCGTCTTAAAACTGAGAAATCTTCGATATAATTTTTGTTAGAAGGCTCAAAGATCCGCCAAAGGTGACCTGACCTGACCTGACCTAACCTAACCTGACCTAACCTAAACTAACCTGACCTAGCCACACCTACACATGGCACAGCACTCTTATAGCTGTGTTCCCGATTCGCCTTTCACGTTCATAAAAGC